AATGAATTTGTTCAAATCTAAACTACTATTCGCTTTAATTTTACGCCAAAATCTCCGGCGTCTGACGTCAGTTACAACATGAGTGGCTTACCTTGTCCGTCACTTCCGTCACTTACCTTTCATTTCCTCATTTTTGCCTTTTGACGATAGGCACGAGCAGTGTGGCTGTGCCTGGGCGAAAAAGGGAAAATAAACAACTACATCAAAGCAGCTAGAGCATGCTGTGCTGGCTAAAGAAGCTGACGCTTGCATGCACTGCTTTGTTGCCAGCACGAACTAGGCAGACCGTGCTTGGTTTTTTGAAAGCATTAAATGGCCGTCCCTCCCCCTTCTCCTGCCTCCAAAAATGAGAGAGCAGGCTACTATGGGGAACATGGCTGCCGCTGCTGTGACACCAGTTAGGCAGGCCATGGGCTCCCTCCCCTCCCACAGCAGGCCTCCCATGGCTCCGCCTATGTCAGCGCCTCCTGTCTAAGGTGCCGCTGCTGCCTGATTGGTCTGGTTGTAAGCAGTTGAGTGTCCTGCCTCCCAGCATTTATGGTCCCCTGCCCGCACTTGGTTGCTGCCATGCATGGTGGGAGTAGTAGCCTTTGGCCCCTCCCCTGAAAGCCGCGCCCCTGGCCCATCCGGATGAGGGAGGGCGGCATGCCCTAACGGGGGCATGAGGATAACTGCTGCCCTGCTGGCGGCCATTTTGTCGCTCCCTCTATAGGGATGGAGCTTGACACGACAGCTGCAGGCGGGGTGGGGACATGGTGAGCCCTCCACCATCCTGTGTCTCTCAGGCTAAAATGGGGAGGGGATGATGGCTGCAGCGTTCCCTCACATGGCCCCGCCTCTGTGAGGCCTGGGCCAGTGAAGGCGGGGAGGACTCGGAGTCTAGGCTCAGCTGTCCTCCAACCGCCCTCCTCTCTCCTGACATCCTTTGAGTTGGGCCTAGTGGCCAGCACTGCTGCTTCCCCTGGCATATTGCCCGCACTTCGTCGGTTTTATACGCCAGTCGGACCTCGCTGCGTCTGACGGGCTAGACCGTCTGTGGACGGCTGGGTGGCTCCGTGGCTGTGTGGATGGACCCTTCAGGTCGCATCCCTGCCTTGGCCCTTCGTCTTTGCAGCTGTACTGCTGCTGCGGCCTGTGTTCCCCTGGCGTATAGCCCGCGGTTCGCTGGCTCACACGCCAGTCCAACCTCGGTGTGTCTGATAGGTCAGCCAGGGAGTGAGTGTTCTCCAGCATGCAGCGCTGACTCTCTGTCTAGTGCGTTGCCCCTGTGTCACGGGTCACATGGCTTGCAAGTGCCCGCGCAGTGAGCTGAAACTTCCCGACTGTCCGCCAGTGTCTCATCAGGCCTACTCTTGCTGGCCGCCTGACGGCGCAGAGTGGCTGCTATGCCCTGGTGACAATTCTTGGGTCACTCCTCACTTGGGCCCTCAGTGGCCTGAGCCACCAGCCCCTCCCCTGTCGTGGATGGTGCAGGTCGGCCGCTCAGCTCCTGGGACAGGCCTTGGGTCTCGTCCTACCTCGGCCATCCACTGAGTGGCCGAGCTGCTGCAAAAGGGTCTCTCTCCCTGGCACTGTCTCACTGCCTACTTGGCTTCCCCAGCCGGCGGCTCCGACTCCACATACAGTGGGGCAAAAAAGTATTTAGTCAGCCACCGATTGTGCAAGTTCCCCCACTTAAAATGATGACAGAGGTCAGTAATTTGCACCAGAGGTACACTTTAGTATTAGTATTTATTTATTTTAGTATTTATTTATTTATTGTCATTGTCAAGAACAATGAAATTGCGTTTGGGGCTTCCATACAACCCAAAAAAAAAAGAAGAAAATAATAAATACCCCTTAAAACCTAAGTGTACATATTTAACCCAGTGTGACTCCAATGCAATAAGACAATCCTTAGCAATAATATTCTGTCTCTCACTTCAACTGTGAGAGACAGAATGTGAAAAAATAAATCCATGAATCCACATGGTAGGATTTGTAAAGAATTTATTCGTAAATCAGGGTGGAAAATAAGTATTTGGTCAATAACAAAAATACAACTCAATACTTTGTAACATAACCTTTGTTGGCAATAACAGAGGTCAAACGTTTACTATAGGTCTTTACCAGGTTTGCACACACAGTAGCTGGTATTTTGGCCCATTCCTCCATGCAGATCTTCTCGAGAGCAGTGATGTTTTGGGGCTGTCGCCGAGCAACACGGACTTTCAACTCCCGCCACAGATTTTCTATGGGGTTGAGGTCTGGAGACTGGCTAGGCCACTCCAGGACTTTCAAATGCCTCTTACGGAGCCACTCCTTTGTTGCCCGGGCGGTGTGTTTTGGATCATTGTCATGTTGGAAGACCCAGCCTCGTTTCATCTTCAAAGTTCTCACTGATGGAAGGAGGTTTTGGCTCAAAATCTCACGATACATGGCCCCATTCATTCTGTCCTTAACACGGATCAGTCGTCCTGTCCCCTTGGCAGAAAAACAGCCCCATAGCATGATGTTTCCACCCCCATGCTTCACAGTAGGTATGGTGTTCTTGGGATGCAACTCAGTATTCTTCTTCCTCCAAACACGACGAGTTGAGTTTATACCAAAAAGTTCTACTTTGGTTTCATCTGACCACATGACATTCTCCCAATCCTCTGCTGTATCATCCATGTGCTCTCTGGCAAACTTCAGACGGGCCTGGACATGCACTGGCTTCAGCAGCGCAACATGTCTGGCACTGCGGGATTTGATTCCCTGCCGTTGTAGTGTGTTACTGATGGTGACCTTTGTTACTTTGGTCCCAGCTCTCTGCAGGTCATTCACCAGGTCCCCCCGTGTGGTTCTGGGATCTTTGCTCACCGTTCTCATGATCATTTTGACCCCACGGGATGAGATCTTGCGTGGAGCCCCAGATCGAGGGAGATTATCAGTGGTCTTGTAATGTCTTCCATTTTCTGATGATTGCTCCCACAGTTGATTTTTTCACACCAAGCTGCTTGCCTATTGTAGATTCACTCTTCCCAGTCTGGTGCAGGTCTACAATACTTTTCCTGGTGTCCTTCGAAAGCTCTTTGGTCTTGGCCATGGCGGAGTTTGGAGTCTGACTGTTTGAGGCTGTGGACAGGTGTCTTTTATACAGATGATGAGTTCAAACAGGTGCCATTCATACAGGTAACGAGTGGGGGACAGAAAAGCTTCTTACAGAAGACGTTACAGGTCTGTGAGAGCCAGAGATCTTCCTTGTTTGAGGTGACCAAATACTTATTTTCCACCCTGATTTACGAATAAATTCTTTACAAATCCTACCATGTGGATTCATGGATTTATTTTTTCACATTCTGTCTCTCACAGTTGAAGTGTACCTCTGGTGCAAATTACTGACCTCTGTCATCATTTTAAGTGGGGGAACTTGCACAATCGGTGGCTGACTAAATACTTTTTTGCCCCACTGTATACCCTAGACAGGGCCGTGCAGAGACGTTTAAAGGGGCGGGTGCTCAAGCCCCTTCCACCCCCCCCTCTGCACGTGCCTGACCCTGGACCCCAGAGGGTTAAGAGAACCAAGGTTACACCGTAACCGTACGTTCAGCAGGACCTCCGTGTTTAACGCCTGAGAAATGGGAACTCTCCGAGTGGTTTCCACCAAAGTTTAACCCAAATATTACCATTATTATAAAATGTTTTAATGCTTTTTTGAAGTACTGACCAAAATGTAGTCCAAAACATCGATTAAGAATTTGTGGTTTACAGAATCAAAGGCTTCAAATATATCAATAAAGAACATAAACCTGTTTTCAGTTCTGATCCGTCACATCCAGAATCAACCTGACTTTGGTACTTACATGTGTTCCTTGCATAAAGACTGACGGTCATCTCTAATGGTATCCAAACACGACTTCAGTCTTTCTGCTACAATATCATATTGTAATTTCACGTTATTGTTAATCAGCGCCCTCTGAACTGTGTGAAATCTTTTTTTAAAGAACAAATATCTGTCAAACATGCTGTGAAACATGTCTGAACCTTTCTGTGGTGCCTGTTTTATTTACAGCCACATTAGAGACAGGCATGTTTACATTCAGCTCTCCTAAATAAAAGCTGAAAGCTGTGTTTTATTGTGTTATGTTGTTTTTGTGGAAAGTACAAGTTACAGTGATTTAATGATGTTTAAAATGATTGATGATGAATTATCTTATAAATCAGGACACACTGTTCTCTCCGACAGGCTTCCTGAAGGATTAAAAGCGTTTCTATAGGTAACACTGGTCCTGTATTTACTTGGTATCCGACCAATAACAAAATTTGCAGTATTGACACACACGTGTGGATACTTCTTTAACACGCTATGGGTAGCCCGGCCATGCCCCACAGCTTGCATATAAAACCTCTGTGCAGAAGTGAAACCAGCGATTGATGTCCACTTGGTAGTGCATATGTGTGCTTAGTGAGCTCCAACCCTGCTTTGCTGCCAAAAGGCACAAAAGCTATCTGTACAGGTGCAATATGTAACGGAGTGGAGAGACTGTCACTCAGAGAACCAAGGTTACAGTGGAACCACACAGTTTGTTGGCCTTCACACCAAACTGCAGAACACGAATCTTCATATTTACAAGATCATCTTGTCTTTCCTACGGAGCACAGAGAGATTATCAACAACATTCAAACTCGATAAGACTGAGTTTAAATGAAACAAACACGTCTCTAAGCTCCACAGCTCTACATTTACAGATTCAAAGACTAATAGACATCTCACGTTATTATAAAAGCTTTATTCTGACCCATGAATGTAGAAAGTTATTAGTACTTATGTATGTCTGGAATGTTTGTGGATGAAGCATGTGTCTGTGATCTGCTCCTCGCAGCTTTTGGTGGCTGACCGTGACAGGCTGCCAGTGAGAGCAGAAGCCTGTCTGTGTCTGTACTCGGATACAAATGTAGATAAAGCTGCTCTCTTTCTGTCATTCTCCCCTCAGGATACGTGATGATATCTGCCAAAAAATATCCAAATAAAAACACAATTCAGAGATTTCTAAACTTTATTCAACACACTGATGATCAGGACTTTTTCCAACGAAACAACCAATCAGAGTAGGAGAGAGTGTGTCCCTCCAGGCAATCTAATTTAGCACCAGCTCTGATTAAAGGCAGAGGAGTATGTTGATGAGAACCAGGTGCAGGTTTCCCGTTGTGAAGGTCAGAGGTCAGAGCCCTCCTGCTGCAGCAGCAGGTCCACAGCAGCCTCCACGTCCTCCACCATGTAACTCGGCTCCATCAGGTCAGGCTCCGGTACCAGGTCTCTGTGACCGTGAAACACCGTCTCCATGATGCTGCTATTCTGGTCACTAGGCAGTGGGAAACGGGGATTGTAGACACCTGTGCACACCTGAGGACAGGTACATGGGAAGATAAGCATTTTTGCACTCTTATTATTTTGAACTCAGATGTCCTCAGATGTGCTTTTATTTTGAAGGACTAAATCGCTGATGCTCAAAATCAAAATTAGGCTTAATAGCCCTGATTTACTGACTTGGTGTTGGCTCTCTCTGCAATACAGTATCACTTCCTGTTCCTGTTACAGTTCACAGATGTTTTTGTTTAGCCTGTTTAGTTTTAGATAATGACTTATCTTATGGTGTGATCGTCACATGCTTTATCCAAAGAGCACTCTGTGTTGATTCACCCACTAATTACAGTCACAGTATTCACTCACTGTCTTTAGGGATTCACTAACTTAGCTTAGCTACGCTTAGCTTGCAGCCGAGTCGCTAGCAGCAGGGCCTCTTCACCTGTTCATCCTGCACTTTCCTGCTCCTTGTGTCAGACATTTAATCACTCCTTGGCCTCCTTTACTAATAACAATACATGTCATAAATGTAGCCTGTTTAAAGCTCTGGAGGCCAGGATTACTGAATTGGGGAGGTGGGAAGTAACCAGGTAATTATACATCGTTACTGTGCTGAAGTAGAAATTTCAAGTGTATGTATCTGAGTATTTAATTTTTGACAATTTCCTACATTTTGCACCTCATGTTTTCATTACTTTAGGTTCAATGATATAATTTATAGTGTTTATACTTGGAAGTTAAAGCAGGCTGGAGTGAGTGCAGATGTGCTCATAGTAATCCTTCCCACTTTAACCTATGACTGTACTCATTTTTTTGTCCAGATGTGGAGGTAAAGTCACCCTCTACAATGTAGGCAACCAAAAAAATAATTATCCATCTTCATCCGCTTTATCCGAGGCCGGGTCGCGGGAGCAGCAGCCTAAGCAAAGAGGCCCAGACCTCCCTCTCCCCAGCCACCTCCTCCATCTTATCCGGGGGAATACCAAGGCGTTCCCAGGCCAGCCGAGAGATATAATCTCTCCAGCGTGTCCTGGGTCTGCCCCGGGGCCTCCTCCCGGTGGGACATGCCTGGAACACCTCACCCAGGAGGCGCCCAGGGGGCATCCTTGTCAGATGCCCGAACCACCTCAGCTGGCTCCTTTCGATGTGGAGCAGCAGCGGCTCTACTCTGAGCCCCTCCCGGATGGCCAAACTTCTCACCCTATCTCTAAGGGAGAGGCCAGCCACCTTTTGGAGGAAGCTCATTTCTGCCGCTTGTATCCGCGATCTCGTTCTTTTGGTCACTACCCACAGCTCATGGCCATATGTGAGGGTAGGGACGTAGATCGACCGGTAAATTGAGAGCTTCGCTTTTACACTCAGCTCCCTCTTCACCATGACGGACCGGTGCAGCATCCGCATTACTGCAGCTGCAGCCCCAATCCGTCTGTCGATCTCCGGCTCCCTTCTCCCATCACTCGCGAACAAGACCCCGAGATACTTGAACTCCTCCACTTGGGGCAGGAACTCATCCCCGACCCGGAGTGGGCACTCCACCCTTTTCCGGCTGAGAACCATGGCCTCAGATTTGGAGGTGCTGACCCTCATTCCCGCTGCTTCACACTCGGCTGCGAACCGTTCCAGTGCGAGCTGGAGGCCCTCACCCGATGAAGCCAACAGAACCACATCATCCGCAAAAATCAGATATGAGATTCTGAGGCCACCAAAGCGAAAGCCCTCCGCCACTTGGCTGCGCCTAGAAATCCTGTCCATAAAAATTATGAACAGAACCGGAGACAAAGGGCAGCCCTGGCGGAGCCCATCACCCACCGGGAACGAGTCTGACTTATTGCCGGCAATGCGAACCAAGCTCTTGCAACGGTTGTATAGGGATCGAATGGCCCGTAGCAATGGGCCAGACACCCCATACTCCCGCAACACCTCCCACAGGACACCCCGAGGAACACGGTCGAATGCCTTCTCCAAGTCCACAAAACACATGTAGACTGGTTGGGCAAACTCCCATGCACCCTCAAGTATCCTCGAGAGGATAAAGAGCTGGTCCAGTGTTCCGCGACCAGGACGAAAACCGCATTGTTCCTCCTGTATCCGAGGTTCGACTAGCGGACGAACGCTCCTTTCCAGCACCCTGGCATAGACTTTCCCAGGGAGACTGAGGAGTGTGATCCCCCTGTAGTTGGAACACACCCTCCGGTCCCCCTTCTTAAAGATGGGGACCACCACCCCGGTCTGCCAGTCCACAGGTACTGCCCCTGATCTCCACGCAACATTGCAGAGGCGTGTCAAGCAGGACAGCCCTACAACGTCCAGAGCCTTCAGGAACTCGGGGCGGACCTCATCAACACCAGGGGCTCTGCCACCAAGGAGTTGTTTAACTGCCTCAGTGACCTCGCCCCCGGAAATTGGCAGGTCATTCCCCTCATCCCCAGACTCTGCTTCCTCCTCGGAAGACGTGTCAGTGGGATTAAGGAGGTCCTCGAAGTATTCCTTCCACCGCCTGACAATTTTCTCAGTCGAAGTCAGCAGCGCCCTGCCAGCACTATACACAGTGCAGGTAGAGCACCGCTTTCCCCTCCTGAGACGCCTGACGATTTGCCAGAATGTCTTCCGAAAGTCTTTTTCCATGGCCTCTCCGAACTCCTCCCACACCCGAGTTTTTGCTTCAGCCACTGCCCGAGCCGCATTCCGCTTGGCCTGTCGATACCTGTCGGCTGCCTCCAGAGTCCCACAGGCTAACCAAGCCCGATAGGACTCCTTCAGCCTGGTGGCTCCCTTCACCTCTGGTGTCCACCATTTGGTTCGGGGATTACCACCACGACAGGCACCAACCACCTTGCGGCCACAGCCCAATGCAGCAGCTTCGGCAATGGAGACGCTGAACATGGTCCATTCGGACTCAATGTCCCCAGTCTCCCTCGGAATGCTGTTGAAGCTCTGCCGGAGGTGTGCGTTGAAGATCGCGCGGACTGGGGCCTCTGCTAGACGTTCCCAGCACACCCTCACTACGCGTTTAGGTGCACCAGGTCTGTCCAGCGTCCTCCCCCGCCACCTGATCCAACTCACCACCAGGTGGTGATCAGTTGACAGCTCAGCCCCTCTCTTTACCAGAGTGTCCAGAACATATGGTCGCAGGTCTGGTGATACGATTACAAAATCGATCATCGACCTACGGCCTAGAGCGTCCTGGTGCCACGTGCACTTATGGACACTCTTATGTTAGAACAGGGTGTTCGTTATGGCCAAACTGTGATTAGCACAGAAGTCCAATAACAAAGCACCGCTCGGGTTCAGATCAGGGAGGCCGTTCCTCCCAATCACGCCCCTCCAGGTCTCGATGTCGTTACCCACGTGAGCATTGAAGTCTCCAGGTGGAGCACCTTCCAGCACCCCCACCCCCTAGGACTCTAAGAAGGCTGGGTACTCTGAACTGCCACTCGGCGCATAAGCGCAGATGACAGTCAGGACCCGTTCCCCGACCCTAAGGCGCAGGGAACAAACCCTCTCATCCACCGGGAAAAACCCCAACGTACCGGCAGCAAGCCGAGGGCATATTAGAATACCCACCCCAGCCCGCCGCCTCTCACCAGGGGCAACTCCAGACTGAGACAGAGTCCAGCCCTTCTCCAGGAGACTGGTTCCAGAGCCCAAGCCATGTGTAGAGGTGAGCCCGACTATATCTAGCCGGTACCTCTCAACCTCACGCACTAACTCAGGCTCCTTCCCCACCAGAGAGGTGACATTCCATGTCCCTATTGCCAGTCTTGGCAGCCGGGGGTCAGTGCGCCAGGGCCTCCGCTCCTGGCCGCCACCCGGCACACAATGCACCCGACCCCTATGGCGCCTCCTGCGGGTGGTGGGCCTGGGGGAGGATGGGCCCATGTCTCCTCTTCGGGCTGTGCCCGGCCGGGCCCCATGGACTAAGGCCTGGCCACCAGACGCTCGCCCTCGGGCACCCTCCCCGGGCCTGGCTCCAGGGCGGGGCCCCGGTAACCCTATCCCAGGCAGGGTAAACTGTTCCGTCGGGGGAAAAAAAATTATTTTATAATAATAATAATAATAATCATATTGATAATGCACAAAGCTCTGTTTATATACAAATAGGTGGTAGAATTGTTGTTCAAGGAACCGCTTTTTATTTTCTTACTTTGAGTACATTTCAGAGCCCGTACTTTTCAGTTTTACTTAAGTAAAGAAGTTGATTCAATACTTTTTTTTTGTTTTTTAAACAAAAGTGCCTGTACTTCTAGTTAAATAAAGAATGTCGGTACTTTTTTTTTGACAATTTTTATTTGTTTAGGAACATTTTTATGCAACAAGATAAAAGAAAAAAGAAAAAGAAAAAACAGAAACAGTATGAGGTCATGGGAAGATAACATACGTCCGTACATACATCTGCACATCCACACATACATATGTCAGCAAGTCTGCATTACTAATTCTATGCATTAAAGGGCGCTGCCACAAGCTGTAAAGTCCAGCCATTTTCTCCACCGTCTCCTTCCCAAATCTCCCTGCAGTCGCAGAGTGAAAGTCATATATTCCATCAATTTGACGTCTTCCACTATAGAGGTAAAAAGTGTTACAGTGGGAGGGTCTCTACAGAGCCAGCGTTTTGTTATGGCCTTCCTCGCAGAAGCCAAGAGAACTTTCAGAAGATAAACATCATCTGCAGCTAAATCGTCTATAAAATATCCCAGATACAATGAGGTAAATGTACGAGACACGTGGAATCCCAACACCTCTGAAATTATCTTTACAACTTCCGTCCAGAAGGGTTGTATGAGTGGGCAGGACCAGAATACATGACCGTAATCAGCCATGTCTTCCCCACAATTCCTCCAGCAAAACGCAGGTGTAGCACTGAATTTAGACTTCTGTTTAGGCGTTATGAAATAGCGTATAATGTTCTTCCAGCAGAAGTCCCGCCACATGTTGGAGTGAAAATATTAACAATCGAGAAGTCTCCACGGACACAGCTCTTCAGTCTTTTGCCAATATAGTCACGGAGTTGCAAGTATCGAAAAAAGTCTTGTTTCTCG